CCCACATTTTTTATTTTATGAGAATGTTTGTCGAAGCCAGGGGCATTCTTGTAAATAAAGGTGATTGTAAAACCTCGCATTTAGCAGCATTTCCCGTTTCTATTTATTTGTTTGTCTTTTTTTAAATTAAAAGATTAAATGATAAGATCAGGTTGGGCTAGAAGCTATGCACACTTCAAGAAATGTGTCCTTGAACATATCTGTCCTCATAGCATGCTTATTCCTAGATTAAGAATTATTGCCTTTTTTTTCTAACTGGAGCCTGTCATTTATAGACAGAAATTCAACAATGTAACATACCATAAACAATGGTAGTTTGCTATACATATAAAAAATCTCTATCACTTTTGGACTACTGTAATGAACTCTACATCGGTTGGCTTTGAAGATTAATCAGATGTTTCAAATGGTCTGAAATGTTGTAGCTGAATGATGAAGCTCAATAGATGTTCCCATATAAATACCTCCAAGACCTACGTTGGTTAAGTTACCTTCAGAGTGCAATTCAACATGCCCCACTGACAATTTGAAACAAAACAAATTGTGACTATGACTTGGCCAAAGAATGAGTAAGCAGTTTGCACTTACTCTATTTGGATGAATTAAAATTATTTGGAAAAGCAAAGGCTGAACTAGATTCCTTATTAAAAAGCATAAAGGGATTCGGGGGGAAGAAGGCAGAGCCTCCTTGCTGACGGACGGTAGATCGCGACTCTCTGCGGCTATGTTCCGTGCTCTTTCGTTGGAGAGCCCCAATTATTATGATTAGGGGCTGAAGCTGCCTTGGAGGAGCGGCGGAGTAAGGGGAAGCCACAAGCCAGGTTGAGGGGAGCCGCATCTCCCCTCCTGGTCTTGGTCTTTTTCCCCCCGAAGACGACTGCAGTGGTGGTTTAAAATGGCCACCCCGAAGAGGACGACTCAGGTGGATTGAGATTTGTGCAGGAGGGAAGAAAGAGGTGGATAACATCTGAACCGGGACAACTGGGCAATACAACTAAACAAAAGTACCCCGCGATTAAGGTAACATGGAATTTTTAAGAAAAGAAAAGTGAGTGGCGAAATTACAAAGGGACAGAGAAAAAAAAAGAAAATATTTTTGACAGCTAAGCGGGGCTTCGAACCAGGAAAGGAAGAAGCTGGAACTAAAGATTTAACAAAATTGGTCTAAAATATTTTGGGAATAAACAGGCATAAAATAAAGCTGGACTTAAGATTGTCAAAAATAATAATAATAAAGTTTACAAATTGGAGACTGGACTGTGCTGGAATATTGAGGTTCGAAAAACCCTAAATAAAAAAATAGGGGGGAAAGGTGAAGACTTTGTATAATGGAGAGTGTCACCTTTTGACAAAAACTTGAGCTCAAACAAAAGGGAAAGCATTCTGTTTCTGAATGAACTTGTGTGGATATAACATTACAGAAATATTGAAACAAAGTAAGAATCTTAGAAAGTGAAAGCAGAACCAGAATAAAGAAAAAAGCAAGGGAAGACTGACTGTGGGATTGATTGATGTTTTTGGTATAGACCCTGGGCTGGAATAACTGAGAACTTTAGAAAATTGAAAGAAGAAAGAAGGAAAGTAAAAGTAGTTTTTTGTGGACTTTAACGATCATAAAATATAAGAGTGTGTAATGATGATATCTCTTCGGGAATTAAAAATGGAACTTAAAAATATGAAAGAATTACTACAGGAAAGAGGCTAATCACTTTGCTCTGTGTTAGAAAAAATGGAAATGGCGATTGAAGAACAAGAAGAAAGAGCTTCAGAAGAGGAGGAGTCGACTCAAGGAGAAGACATTTTAAATAGACAATTAACACAAAGAACGCTACAAAGAAGTGGGGAAAGAAGGAAGGTTAAAAAGTTGAGACTTAAGAAGGCAATCAAAAGAGGGAATACCTGTGAAGTCAGGAAAGGCAGAAAGACCCAGCAGAAAACGGGAAAGGAAGATATTAAGAAAGAGAGGGATATAAACTGGAATGAGAAAAGATATGGGGAAAAGAGGGGGAGGAGAAGCAGTAAGAAACAGGTGCATGAAATAAAGAAATACAGAAATAGTAAAATGCTGAAAAGAAATTGTTTTTTCAGAGATAATGGTTGATGAATTAAAAGGGGGATTCTGCAGGGTGACAAGGGGGAATAAGAATATTTCTGCAATTAAAAATATTTAAAAAATAGGGTAATATAGATACTGATAACTCTTATTAAAAATCAAGGGGGGAAAATATGCTGCGGAATCCAATTGAAAAGATGTAATGATTATTATTGTAACTTCTTAAAAATAATGGTTTATTGGGAATCAAGATAAGGGAATAAAGGTATATTTTAATCATTGAGGTGTCACACTCAAAACAATAAAAGGGGGGAAACCTATACTTGTTTTGTTTTTTTAGTGTTAAAATTTGTATTAATCTAGAATTCATAAAAAGAATGTGTAATGGAAAGGGAATATGACTAAAGAACCAACTAAATTAATAAGTTAATATAGACTATTAAAAGCAAGGAGAGACATTGGTAACAATATTATTATTATTATTATTATTATTATTATTATTATTATTATTATTATTATTATTATTATTATTATTATTATTAGGCAAACACATAGTTTATCTTTATTTTTAAAATAAATATTAAAGGATTATATTTGAAATAATTGAAATGAAACAAAAAGGTGTTTCGATTGAGATTAATGAAAGAGGCTAGAATTAATGTGTTTGTTTCTCTCCTTACTGAAAATTTGGAATGGAAAAGGTAATAATAGAATTAAATATGCATATATGAATGTATAATTGCTGTCATATTTGTATGTAAAGGTGATGACCCGGAAATATGTTGTCCACTAAAAAGAGATTTTTGTTTTCAAACTGAAAAACTGAATAAAATTTGTTTAAAAAGAAAAGCATAAAGGGATTCAAAAAAGATACTGGAATGTGATTTAGTATTGACAAGTGTGCAACTATAGCTATTAAGGCAGGCAAAACTGTTGAAGGTGAGGGAATATAGCTTAACAATGAAGATTTGATAAAAACAAGAGCACTAAAAGGATATAAATTTTTCATAATTTTGGAAGAATTTATTCTTTTATTACAGAATCAAATCAAAGAAAGTACTTCAACCAAATATATCAGATGAGTTTGTAAACTGTTGAAATCAAAGCTAAATAGTGGAAACATTAAATATTTGGGCCAGCCCGATATTCAATATGCAGCAATATAATTAACTGGATCGAGGTGGAACTTGATAACTAGATTCAGAAGATTAAAAAAAAACATCCTATGATAATATAGCATGCTTTCCACCCCAAAAAATGATACTTGATGGACAGATTATTTGCCAAGAGAGGAAGAGGGTAGAGGACTTCTGCAGGTGAAACAAACTGTAATGGAAAAAAAGTATGGCCTGAATGACAACATTAAGAAAAGTCAAGAATCCTTGCCTGAAGGAAATCAATCAAAGAAAGCTCTTGAAAATAACAAACATGAAGGCTGAATGTAGAAAGAAACAATTAAAAACAATTTGTTAATTAGAAGCATAAGTCAATACACAGTCAAAATTTGAAGAATATTAAAGGAAAAGCTGATAAACCCCCCACATGGAATTGGTTATCAGGAGTGTTAAAGAAAAAAAAAAGGAAGGCTTTAATTGCATGAAGGTGAAAATTCTATATGTAACAAACTTGAAGAAAATGACTTGATTGTAGTAAAAGGGATGAAACAATTAACCATTTGATCAAAAGCTGCAGTAGAATATCACAAATTGACTACAAATAGCATCATGAACAAGTTGCCAGAATTATTCATTCTAAATTTTGCCAGAGGTCTGGTTTTGAATATTGTAAAAACTATTGAGACTATCAAAGTGAGAAAGTTTTGGAAAATGAGCAGGTCTTATGGAACTTTAATATTGAAACAGACAAGACATCTTGTTTTTAATATGCCTTATATTGGGGAAAAAAGAAACAAAGAAAGTCTGGTTCACTGATATTGCTATTCCAGGTGATCCAGGATTGAACAAAAACAATTGGAAAAAATATAAAATATTGGATTGAAGTTGACTGCTTATGGAAAAACTGTTGCTATGCCAACTGACATTGGAGTTACCTAAAGGACTTCCCCAATATCAGGACATATTGAATTTAACTAAAATCCTAATTTTATATAAAAAAAACAACCCATCTTGCTTCGAATGGTCCATATTCTTAGATGCTTCCTTAAGATTCTTAGGTCTATGCTTACAATTTGAATTAAGTTTCTACCAGAAACTTAGACTGTGAATCTAACAGATTACCCACGCATAATACTAAACATATAACAAAATAATAATAAAGCTTGGCTTTTAGAAGAGTCCTGGAAGCAATTTTGCTATCAATAAGAGATATTTCACTAAGGATATGTATTCTGCATTTGGCACAGTATAAGCAATTAATATAATACATAATAATATATAATAATCGGGCATAAAATACCAAAGTCAATTTAAATCTTAGAATGAACTGCCCTTCTTAAACTTTTTAGAATTTGGTTAGCTTATAACAATTGAAATCCTACACCTTTACAAAACAACGTACCTACCGTCCCTATCCTATTGTTTCTTTTATTTTTCTTATATGTATCCATGTTTTCATAACTATGTTTTTACTTATACCTATTATCTTGTAAGCAATTGACAAACCAAATAAAATAAATAAATAAAGTGTTTTGAACGTAATATTCTATCAAGATTGCAAATCCACTTGCTTTCCTGTTACAATATTTCTCATGCGCCGGTTGGGAACTATACTGTAATATTTATATAAATTATAAAGAACGCCGAACTTCTTCCAGAATCCGTAATCAATACAGTCCCTCCCAAGGTCTCTTTCAAGGGAAACAAGACGCAGCAATTGCCTCTCCTTTTGATGCATTCTGGGAAATGTGGTTTCCTACGTTTTTCCGGTCAAACGCATGGGACCTACCGGGAATTGTAGTTCTATCGTCATGCCCAAGGCTTGCTGGGAAGAGTAGTTTTTCCATCTCTGCACAGTCAGCCTGGACTTTAACAGCCATTTCTGGCGAGGCCATGGTGGGGGGGGCTCGTTTATTGGACTTTCGCTTTTTCCCGGGTAAGTTTACTTTCTCTGGCGGTTGTTTTCCCAAACTCCTCCCCACCTCCCGCATGCTGGTACGAGTTGGTCATTGGGAATTGCTCTGGTTGACAAGTCTTTGTTTCTCTTGTTGGTGGGCGAAAAATGAAACATTCAGCAGGGTATGAAAATTAGATTTGCATCCGGATTATTTTCATTGTTAACCACTCCTGTGAAGAGTGATGCCTTCGAGCATGCACAGAATGCAGCTGTGTTATAATAAGGACCTTTGCATCCGTCGCACTAGTTTATGGAAGCAATTTTACCGTTTATAAGAGTATCTTTTTTAGTCTGTCTTTAGCTAGCCCATTTTGACTTACAGGTTTGAAAGTTTTGATGACTATTGTACGTTACCTTGTAATAAGTCCAGTACCCGTGTATGTCTTTTTGGCATGCTTGATACTTACTATACACTTTAATGATGTATTATTGTTTTACTGCTGTAACATTGCTTGTCTTGGAAACTTAGCAGTATAGTACTAACAGGAGTTTTTATGTCATGATCAATGCCACAACATTGTTGATCTTTAAATATTATGCATGGTTTCTTGACTGCGGTGGAATATTACTTCCTTTGAATATGATGCTCCAGAAAATTTTGAGTGAATGATCTTCCAAGGAAGGATAGTTTTGACATGCCATAGCCTTCCCCAACCTGCTGTCCAACAGATTTATTGGATTCAACTTTCCATAATTTTCAGAAAGTTAAATTTATCACATCTGAAATACAGTTGTGCTATGGATAACTTTAACACACAATTTCCTAACAGAAAGGTCTCTGTGTACATCTCAACGAAGTGGCTGTGTTTATTCTGATCAGTATAGATTAAGGGAAAATAATTTGATACTATCCATTCATTCTGGACTTAAATCCCAGATAATAACATCCAAATATGAGATGGGCATCATGGTCTTCTCCCTGCCCCTCTCCCACAAGATGCATTAAGCCACTTGTTTACCACTACAGTGATTAAAATAAAGGGACATTTGGGTCTTTTAAAACTTCAACTTTTTATTTTTTGTTTTATTTTCAATCCTATTGTACTTAAGAATACCCATAATTTGCTTGGGTTCTGGGAAACATTTAATATTGTGATGCACTCAGGGCATTTATGCTGCCAATAATGAATGTAAAGCTTTGGTCAACAATTGGCTAGGTTTCCCTAGCATCTGACAAGGGTGGGGCAGCCAGGAGAATCTATTGGATGAGCTGTGATCCTAGAGAAAGCTTAGCAGGCATAAGAGCTGAAGAAAGAAGGGACAGAGAAAACAAACAAAGCAGGGAGATTGAGAAGACATTAAGTCTATCTAACAAAAGTAGACTTTGAGAACCAAGGATGTCTAAAAGAAAGAGGCTTTGAGAACAAGAATTGCTGTGAGACAAACTACACAAAGGGAGGAACTACGGGTGCCTAGAAGGGCCAGAGGTGAAGTTAATGTTGTTAATGCTGCTGCCAAATATTTCCTTGTTATCTGCTGATGGGATTGTACTGATTGGGTGCATTCTCTATTCTTGCTTTTCTTACTGGTTTTTTCCCCTCCAGGGTTGATCTCCTGGGAACGGCCTTTCAGGTCAGTTTGGATGTGATGTCTGGGAATCTGGGACAATCTGAAACATCTGCAGTTTATCATGAGAGACAGCGCCTGGAACTATGTGCCGTTCATGCCCTCAATAATGTCCTGCAGGAACGACTCTTTACCCAAGACATAGCTGATGAAATCTGTAAAAGGTAGGTTGTTTGGGTGGCTTTCCTCTCTTTGGGACTGATTATTCCCATATTTAGGATATTTAGGGGAGCGTCTCCACAGGAGTCAATTGTTCTAACTTTATTATAACAACCTTAAAAACATTAAACATCTGACAAGCATCTGTTTATGGTTCCAGGTAAGAACTAAAATAAGTGAGTCAAAATGAAGGGGGGGCGGGAGAAATCCCAAGGGTTTAAAGCTTCGGTGTCAAATTAAATATGTAACATTTATAACAGTGAGTTGGTATATACATCATTTGTCTACTAGTTGAAAATTTGTTCAGAAATATGATTGGAGCTCTGTTCATTGCAGAGAAGTGTTTAAAGTTGCTTCAGCTTCTGTATGCCCCAGAATCCTTTTAGAAAAGTAGAGAAGGGTGGAGTTTAAAATATTGATTTTATTTTATTTACATATTTTGTCTATATTCAGTCTTAAAATACCATCTTTTCCTTAGGGAGAAGGATGGTGATTTGTTGATTTCTGTGGAACACTCTGACTGACAAGAGAGGTGCAGTGAAACTCTTTCATGCCCTTTTTCCATTTGAGAATCATGAGGGCTATAAACTTCCATGTGGAATTGTGCTTGAAGTGAATTATACATAAGCTTTATCTTAGAGAGCCCCCATAAAGTATTCCTATTGATGGAGCCAAATCTCCTTATGCCCTCCCATTCCTCCTAGCTTATTCAATGCAAACTCTGCAGGTGTCCTGGAAGTAGGGGATAGATATTGAGCTTGTCAAATCTCCTTCCATAATATAAAGTGGTTTCTCTCTCTCTCTCTTTTAAAAGCTATTTAGAAATAATAGGAAAGGGTCCATCTCTTTTTGCTTTTGTTTGCATTTGCAAGTGCCTGAAAGGGACACCGCCTTCTTTTGTTTCTTTGGAAACTGACTAATTGTGCTCAGGGCAAAGCAAGTCTGATTGAGAAGGAAGATTTCACCCTTGATAAATAAAGTAGAGTATTCCAGCATGAGTGGCCAGGAATTCTTTCATGTATTCATTTAAAACAATTGGTAATTGTGGCACATTGTTTAGTACAATTAAGATAATATCTTAGATTCAGCAATATTTCAGTGGAAGCAGGTGTAAGCTTCAAGTAGGCCTCTTAAATACTGAATCTGCTGCAGTCTGGGTCGGTTGATTTATTGTTCATTTATACAATCTTATTCTAGGGCAAGTAGGAGTCTCAGGGGCTTCCCTAGAGTATCATAAGTCTCTGGAAAAGCCAAGGCACCAGCTGTATATAAAGAAGTGTACATCCTTTATTCTCAATATATTTCCAGGAGTAGCTCCCTGGAGTATAAGATTTTGCCAGCTTGAAATAAACAAAAAGTTAATACATGAAATGCATGCTTTAAAAACCCACACATCTTATTTTGGACAAGCTGGAGATAAGAAAAATAATAGCACAATACTGCCAATGGGCATGGCACATTATAACTTTAGGGAAGAAAGGTCTTTCCTTCAAGGAGGCTACAGTCTGACAGTGTGGCTCAGGCAGGCAAGAAAAGAAGAGGGAAGTGAGGCATAGTGGCCTCTCCTCTGTCTTATTTTTGGGGTCTCGGGAACATTCCTTACTATTCCAAGTAATATGTGATATATCAGCTCCAGCATCACCTGTATTTCCAAAATGGCTCTTGGAGTTTCATGGATGCACTCTGAGAAAATAAAGATGACAGGTCATTGCAATTCAGGGTTTTTTTTTGTTTTTGAGAAAGAACCTGCCTCCTCAGAAAAGCTGAAGTAATTTAAGGAATGTAATAGGTGCATATTGGTAGCCTCCACGGGATATAAAGAAAGATACTTCCTAGATAATTTTCTTGCAATTGGATCAGCCATGCTTACTGTGGAAACCATTTGTGAGAGTATCCCTATCATACTTAAGTATTCCAAATGTGTCCCTAATACTTAGGGAAGGCCTACCTCTTTTTTCAAACCTTCGGTGATGTCTGTCATCTCTTTCCCCACAGGCTGGCTCCTGATGCTAGGTGGAATCCACACCGTAGCTTTCTGGGGACAGGGAACTATGATGTCAATGTCATCATGGCAGCTCTTCAGAGTGTGGGGCTTGAAGCCATTTGGTGGGATAAACGAAGGTAAGGAGCTCTTATTTATTTTTTTCTAGCTACTTTTTCTGAACAGGCAAAAATCAGCCAACTCCAAACTTATCATTCTATTTTTTTAAAGAACAAGTTTCTGTCCTTCTCTACTTCAGTGTTCTCCTTCATCTTCTTTTCCTAACTATCTTTACTGATTTCTCCTCCACCTTCATGCCTCATTGCTTGAGACAGCTTATAATTTGAAAATGACATGGTCCTGTAGCATTTTGAGGTGTGATTGCTAATCTTTTCTCTGTAGCTGTCTTTGGCGCTTCCTCACTGATAGAGCTGCTTACCATGATGTGAAATCATCCTATTCTCTTGGCCATTTCAGAATTGTTTTTTCATCTTCCTGCCAGATTAATCTAGTTGCTTTGCCAAGCTCCTTTCTCCCTTTGTCTCATAGACCCCTCGAGCAATTGTCCCTGGCAGGGCTGGTTGGCTTCATCGTGAATGTCCCTTCCAATGTGTGCCTGGGTTTCCTGTCTCTTCCTGTGAGGCGTCGCCACTGGATTGCTGTGCGTCAGCTTGATGGCATCTATTATAATCTTGACTCCAAACTGAAGGCACCAGCACCAATTGGTGGTGAAGCTGACCTCAGGTACCAATAGGGTGGTAGTCAAGATGTAATTGCCTCCTTTTTCTGTGTTTGTTTTACTTCCATATTATGAATTCAAAGTGATTTCTCTAACATATCATACATAAGCAATACCAAATATCACATAACGTAATGAAAACCCAAAATATGGATGTTAAAGTTGCTAAAAGGAAAGAAATTGATTGACTGCTCTAAGTAGCCACAACTCTGCTGACTTTTGAACAACATTCCGCAATGCATTTTTAGGATGAAGCTTGGAGAAAGCTGAAGTCCTTGGAGAATGGTGCTGGGATGGTGAGAATGGTGGTTGGAGGCTCACTCACAGGAGACCCAGCTGGATTCCTAATATTATGTCCTTTTTTCCCCACAGGATATTTCTCCAGGAGGTGCTTTCCCAAGGCGCATGTGAGTTGCTGTTGATTGTGCCCCATGAGGCAGGCGAAGCCAGGCCTTGGCTGAACACTGTGACATGATCCCAGGCCTCCCATAAGAAACTGCCTGGTCTAAAGATCTTTTTTTCTCCCTGCTGCACTCCCTTGCACCGCCTGCTGCATGTGACGTGGGGAAGAAAGGAGCACTCCATTCCTGTTTATACTGTCACTCTGGGTGCCAATGATAGAATCCATCTTCTCTAAGAAATGATCCTGACTTCCCTCTATTTCTGCTTGCTTTTTAAAGGCTTGGCTTCTTCTGGGATGATGGGAAAAAAAGCACGTGGCCCCATGGTGAGGGGCGCCCCCCCCCCCCCCAAGTATGTCATGATACTTACGCCCATATAGGATCTTCCTTGTAGACAAGTAGATAAAAGTTGGGAGTTAGTTTATACTCAAGGCTTGATGGGATGCCCATCTCTTCATCCCCAGCCTATGATATAAATGCAACAGTAGAATGTGGGTCTTTTCAGAATTCTAATATAAAAGCCATTCTGCTAATACATCTAAGAGTTCCTTGGATGAAACAATTTGTTGACCATGCCTTAAAGAATTCACATTTGATTTTGGAAAAGGCTGTTCTGGAAAATTGAAGAAGTCAGGGAGGGTCGTCTGAAGAACCAGTTGGGAGAATGAGGAGATACTTAAGAACTGTTAAAATGTAAGAAACGCGGGCTAACTTTAGTTTGGGAGAGCTATGCGAAAAGGCTTGACTTCTGTCTCGGGTTTCCTTGTGAAACTGTTTAAAGGAATATGAGAGGTTTAAGAATTCTGGGGTAGCTATGGTTGATGTTGAGAAGGCAGAAGTTGAGAGGGGGAAAATAATATTTTGATTGAGAATAATGGTTTAGGAGAAGAGGGTAATTCAGATATTGCATTGTAGCCTCTAAGGTGCTTCTGTGCCTTTTAATTTCTAGCTGACAGAAATTCAATAGGAAGATTTTTCCCAAAACTGATATCTTAAAATAGTGGCCTTCCTGATCCTCTGTTTCCAGCACCCTTCCCCACTGGAATTGTAGTTCAACGCTATTGGGAAAGTACCAGGAGTGCTTGTGCCTATTGAATGTTTGGCTGCCACATAATGATTAAAGGACAAGAGTCTGGCACAGTGGATAAAGAAGTGGTGGTCCTCTCCCAGCAAGTGAAAATATTTGCTTCTTTTTCTTCATTTCTTCTTTTTCTAAAGGGAAAAAAATCCTAGTTGTGCCAGAGAACAAAGTATATAGTGAAAAGTTCAAATATTAATATGGGACAAAACAGTGGTCAGGTCATGGGAGACTAAGGTGCTACCCAGTTTGTTATCCAGGTTTACGTGTTTTTATCCTTTTCTAGGTAGCATTGCCTATTTTATGAAGTAGAATGAATATATGCATTCCAAGTTTTATGTTTTTACCCCAAAAACCAACAACTCTGAAAAGGTAGAAACAAAATGGTGCAATACAAATAAATGTGTGCTTGAGTTTATTTATTTTTTTCTGGTAGATTGTGATTTGGGGTGGGAGAAGAAGATTATATCCCATTTATGTAGAAAGTTGCACTGAAAATCCTAGTAAAAATAAAAATCAGTGTATAACATTCAAAAGGCTACAAGGTTAACAAGACAGCAGGAGTGTCCTCAAGCCACCATCGCCAGGGCTGCACCGTACTTTGAGACACACACACACACACACACCATTCTAATTGACAAAGTCAGGTCTTAACAATCTTGGGAAACCAGAAGAGTGGGGAGGCACTTCATCTGGGGATAAGATGTTCCATAGGTTGGGGACAGCAGCTGAGAAGGGCCTCCAAGAACACACCAGTCAAAACTCTGATGGGACGTAGCATACCCTCCCTGCTTGACTGTGTGGGATGGGTTGATGTAATTGGGGCAAGACAGTTCCTCAAGTATCCTTATAGGTCCAAAACTAACTGTCACGTATCCCACTTCCCCCTCAAAAAAGATGGATAAAGAATAAAGCTGCCAAGAATTCATTTGTTGCTGCTCTTCTGTAATGTTCTATTTTTTATCATCTTTTACTCATCGCAACTAAAGAAATAGGTTTATGGACAAGATATGGCTTTCAAATTTCAGCAAGAATGTTGAATAAATATTCATACAAATCTCTTGGGAGGTTGGAAGCAAAATAAAAATAAATCAGAAAAATGGATTATTTTCTTTAAGGGGAGATTATTTTCTGCTTTTCTCCAGGAGTGCACAGAGCCAGTCTGTCCTATTTTCCATCCTGAGGGTTTGAGCTACTAACCAACAAGGGCCACTTTACGGGTAAAGCCTGGTTTACAAGTTGGTAGTGACTTCTCAGAACAAAAATATTTGCTCAGCTTTTATAAAAGGGAAATAAATTCACTAGGGAACCTTAGTCGGGCAGGATAAGCAGGTAGCATGTGGATATATACTTCGTGATAAAGCTGCTGAATTTTTTGCTTTTTTTTCTTGAAGTTACACCTTTTGCTTTAAGGTGTAAACTTTCCAACTATTTTTGGTTATTTTTGTCAGTATTGGCAATATGGTTACTTACAATAAACATTTCTCAGCCTGTTTTTTCAAACCATGGAACCCACAAAGTCTGTCCCCTTCCATGAAATTAGAAAAAAGAATGAGACGGTCGCACAGAAATGGAGTGGGAGAGATTATGAAAATTATTTTCATAATTTTGTACTCAAATGCTGTGCTCAAAAGCTAAAACACCCTAATAATGCCAGGGTAACAAAACAAATTCTCACAGTGCAGTTATAATTGTGCCAGTTTCCCTATCAATTCTCAATGATTTCCCTTTTTTTAAAAAAATCCCATTCTTCTTGCCTTAAATAATGTGTTCCTAATTGCTTAGCTGTGAGACTATAATTAGTTCAGCATTGGGACCCATGCTAGGTAAGAAGATCTGGGATTATCCCCCATCACCTCCAGATTACATGGTCTTCCAGAAAGCCTTAGGTCCTGAATCTCTTGAGCTCTACTTACCTTCCTAAATCAGTGCTGACAATTATTTGTCCAATGATTTGATTTCTAAAGCTTTATATTTTCCTAGTGCTACAAGGTGATTGCCAACCTAACATGAAATCTTCAGAGCCTGCTGTGACTCACTGCACAAGGCCCCTTGTAAAATAAAAAATCTTAAAAATACAATCTAATACCTGACAAAAGCATAATGGTGAAGGTTGTATTTGTGAATCCTAATTCAAATGCACTTGTGCTATATTAAAATTTGCATTCTGATCTTTTTGACTGGCAAATGATAACCCTGTTAGCTTGCTAGTTTATAATTAGGTATTGGCAACTGCAATTTTTCTGGGATATTTTCTGCAATTTTACATGAGTTGCAACTTAAATTCACAAAGCCTTTGGCTTAATTTTAAAAATCCTCCTCAGCAGGTATATTTCTGATAAGAAATTCCCAACTATTTTATAGGTAATGATCATAATGGAGCCTATCCATTAGAGCCTTAAGTCATGACAGTTATAAATTGGGTCACCCACATAACCAACCTCATTTTATGACCTTTATTGCAAGGACCATTAAGCAAACCAATGGTTCGCAGTGGGCCAGTTTTGTTGAAAACTGGACTTAAATGCCAATTTTGGGGAAAACTCTCGTAAAACGGTCATGTAACCATGGAATGCTGCAAATGATTATGAATACAGGCTAATTACTGAGCACCCAAAGTGCAGTCACAGGACTGTGGGGTACAGCCATCAGAAGTTTGAATCTGGGTCATACATGGCTCCAGGGAAGTCCATTGAACCTTTGAATGGTCATTAAACAACCGGTCATAAGGAAAAGAAGAAAACCCCTAAAGCAAAAAGAGAGAGAGAGAGACACGGAGACAGAGACAGAGACAGAAAACCAGGCTCTCAACCTAGGAGCTAGGTCTCAGCCATTCTCCTAGTTCTGCCTATAATATGGGCCTTACTTATGCTCAAGGAATTTGACCTTCAGAACAATGATTTCTCTTGCTGCTGCTCTTAACAATTACTGAACCATGTAAAGTTTATCATACATAAGCACTTATATTAAATTTGATCCAAAGGTCACATAATATTTTTGTTCTTTTTACTTCTCCAGAATTCTCCCTCAGATTGTAGTGTTTAAAGGTTCACATCTTTGCTTCAAAACAGTTTTGACCATATATGGAGTCTGTGCCCTTAGTATGAAACCATTTTTCCCTTGTTTCTGATTCATCCCCTAATTAAAAAGAAAAAGCTAATGCAAAATATAAAGCTTCACTTCCCATTTATTTATTTTTTTACATTTGTGTGTGTGTGTGTGTGCATACACACACACACACACACACATTTTTCTGTCTCATGTACAGAAGTGGATTTGTAGCTGTGCAGATGCAGATAGATAAATTCCACAAAACATCCATAACAAAGTACATTTATTGGTACATCAGGTATCTTCATAACTCACATTTGTGACGAAGTTCTTCGATAATGACCAATCCTTTGTATATCAGCCTTGCAGGTAAAAGATGGTTATCTCCTATCCCATCTCGTAGCGGTAGAAAAAGCTACTATCAGTTCATGAGTCCAGGCAAGAATGGAGGGAAACCTCCCCCAACCCCTCGAGGGTCAATTTAGTGACCAATCAGGATTACAGATGTGACCACACGACATGAACTACATTTCCCAGGATACCTTTAACTACATTTACCATGATGCATTCCCTTAAGGGGACAGCTCATAATTCCTAAGTAACTATCCAGTTCCCATAGACTGGCTGGGACAGCACACTCCCCGCCTGGAATTGTAAATTCCACTATTAAAGGAAGTGAAAAAAAACAACTATAAACTAAGATAAGCAATAAACATTAATACTAACTGAATAGCATATAACTATATAACTAAGATAAACAGTTAGCTATATAACTTAGAAGAAACAGTAAACATTAATAAAGCATCAAACAAAGCAAAACATGTAAAGTTTGAGGTTCAATCTTCAAGTTCGGCCTTTTGGTGCAAGTCTGCTGGTCACCTCTGGCAGCCTTTTAGGATGTACAGGTACTCTTGATAGCAAAGGTGAAAGTCTGGTGGTCACTTCTGGTGGCCTTTTAGGGTTGACAGATACTCTTGGTGGCAAAGGTGAAAGTCTGGTGGTTGCTTCTGATGGCCTTTTAGGGTTGGAATGGTAATCTTGCTTCCACGGTGTCAAAGGGCATCGGGAAGCTGTTGGAAAGGGTGGTGCAGAGGCATATGCCCGTGTAGAGCGTCTTAGTGGACATCTGGTGGTTGTTGGCGGTCGTTTAGGGTGTCCTAGCAAAAGTGTATTGATCGGTAGCAGCCTCTTAGGCTGGAATGGTATTCTTGTTTTCGATGGTGCTAAAGGGCATTGGAAGGCTGTTGGACTGGATGGTGCTAAGGCATGTGCCTGGGTTGAAGCCTGCATCTGGGCGTCACTGACAATTCCTACTATCCCCCATCCAAGTGGAGATTTGATGGCCACTGGGCCATCTACAGGGCCGCTGACTGACTCGGAGAAGAGAAAGGTGCGTAGGGCATTATTTCTCAGCAAGAGATTATTTCTCAGCCTCTGGATCTAGAGCGGGGAAGTGATGAGCAAGGTGCTGTAGGTAAGGCATGCTACTTATGACCTCAGGTGTTGCGATCTGACTGCGGTCATTTGGTATCCCATCGCATTCAAATACGGGTGGTACTGGGAATTGGGTACTTCCATCTAATGACTCTATGCAAAGTCCAGTAGCTCTCCTCCCCACCGTGCTTCTTAGTCCGTGGCACGTTGATACAATGAAGGGAAGTTTGGGCTGTTGCAACTCAAAGAGGTTGAAGAATGTGGGTCTGGCCAGGGTGCAGGTGTTTTGAGTGTCTATCTGCACATACATTTTCACGACGTCTTCAGGGCATCCTTCAGGGTACACTTTGGCTAAACAGATGGGAAGACACGAATGAGGGAATGGTGAGTCGGCGCACAGTGCTGTGAAGTTGACACTCATCCTCGGTTTTGGTAGCAGTTTGTCAGTCTGCCAAGGAGCTCTGCATGCTTCTGTGTTACGTTGCGGCTCCTTGTCTGAAGGACGGTTATGAGATATCTGCCGTGGTGGCTCGGTGTCTGGATGCAGCGCGGTTGGGTGCTGGTCACTTTTGCAGATGTGACATTGCACTTTGGTTGTGCAGTATTTGGGCAAATGTTTGGATTTACAACACTTGTAGCAGTATTGGTACTCTCTTAGCAATTCTTTTTGTTGGGTCAGTGATTTCTCTGCAAACCCAGTGCAGCTGTTTAGCGAGTGATGAATGTTGTGCATAGGACAAAACTGTATTCTCCTTGTGTTCGGAGATCTAACTTGGGTTGTATCTGAGGAATTCTCTCCCCAACTGTGTGTGGATGAGGAGTCGATCTCAGTGTCATGGACAACCATGAAGGGTCTTTCTCTGGTAGTATGTATAGGGCCTGAGGGCGATATATGGTTGCTGTTGTGTCTTCTGTTATTAGGAGGACTAACAGCTCTGAGTCCATGGGCTTGGTGTGTGTTGCACACTGTCGCCTGGTGGGAGACAAATTCTTCAAGAAGTGTCAAGGGTACAAAGTGGTCGCGACCCTTGGCCATGAAGGTGTCAGTCAACTGGAGCCATTTTTCAATTAGCACCTGCGGAAGTTTTCAAACAATTTTGTTCTGTGTGTCGAGGTGATCGAGACAGGCAAGTCCCGGTAAGTTGGGATCCTGTTGTGCTGTTCTCAGCTGGACAAGTATGTTAGCGAGGTCTATGATTCGGCGAGGCTTGTTGATAGGAATTTTAGGAAAACTGTTGAGGCTATCCAGGAGTGTTGCTTCTACATCTTCGGAAGCACCATACAGTTCGTCAAGCCTTTTCCATGATTACCATAGGGCAGCGGCCGGGTCGTCTAAGTGGGATGTCAAAAGTGCCCTCGGTATGTCGGCAGACTGTGGCCCTAGCCATGCTATCAAGTGTCCGATTATTTCATCAGGGTTCAGGCGTGCCACCTGAACGGGGCACAGGAAAAGTTTCTTCCATACTAGATATTCACCATCTGGCTTGTCAGAGAATCTGCGAACTCCATTGGCGTGCAAATTTAGCTTTCCACTCTGTACAGCCAAGTTTCTCCAGTAGTCTTCAGCATTTGCTGAGTTGACGTAGAGGGTTTTCCCCCTGGATTCTCGTAGGGTGGGTTCAGGTTGTAAGTCAACGACGGGTTGTAGCCTTCCCAGTACTTATGGAGGATGTCGTCCTCCCATACTGGGGATGATGGTCAAGCATCACGCTACGGTGTCGGCTGGGCACGGTTACCTTGTGGTGCCTGGGAGCCGGATTGGTATTGAGGTTGTGGCAGGAATTGGTATTGAGTGTGGCAGTTGTCATTGATGGCATGTCGACTTGTCGTTGTGAGCACTGTTGGACTAATTTGCTCACCTGGCAGGCCATGAGACGTTGGAGTAGGGATGCTAGTGTTGGAAAGAGAATCTCGGACCTTATTACGTACAACATCAGTTGGGGAAGGTTTAGTTATCTCCTAACCCATCTCGTAGTGGTAGAAAAAGTTACTATCAGTTCATGAGGCCAGGCAAGAATGGAGGGAAACCTGCCCCAACCCCTCGAGGGTCAATTTAGTGACCAATCAGGATTACAGATGTGGCCACGTGACATGAACTACATTTCCCAGGATACCTTTAACTACATTTACCATGGTGCATTCCCTTAAGGGGACAGCTCATAAATTCCTAAATAACTATCCAATTCCCATAGACTGGCTGGGACAGCACATATATATTCTTGTTTGATTTTCTTTTGAGCTTTCCAGTGTTCATATTAGACTTGAGGAGAGAGAAGGAAGCCTTTATTTGTACCTTTCAAGTATATCAAATATCCCAAGCATAGAAAATAGGAGAAAAGGTTAGACAGCCTCATTATTAAAAAAAACAGTGGAGGGCAAAATTTATTTATGTTATTTATAGTGTTAGCCATTTTGTAAAAAAAACAAAAACAAAATGGTCCAGCTTCTTTTCAACCAGCAGGTTTGCAATATAAGAGCCAGAAAAAAAAATCCAATGAGCAAATAATACCCAAACAATAATTGCAGCATTGAACTGAAAACCTGAATGCCAAAGGTAAGAAAGAAGGATTTTCACCACTGAATCTTAAAGAATGTAAATATATATATTTATTAAGGAATCGGATTTAAATAATTTAAAAAGCGGTTAGGAAAAAAGACACATTCAGAAACCATACACCTTAGGCCTAGGAAATACATTTGACCTGTTTTTAAGCTGGCAAGTATAATCCATGTGTGACAGTGGTGGGATTCAAATTTTTTTACTACCGGTTCTATGAGGGTGGCTTGGTGGTGGGTTGGTGTGGTGCTTCTGTGGGCGTGGCTTGGTGGCAGGGGAAGGATACTGTAAAATCTCCAGTCAGAGGTGGTATTTGCCGGTTCTCCAAACTATTCAAAATTTCTGCTACCGGTTCTCCAGAACTGGTCAGAACCTGCTGAATATCACCTCTGATGTGTGAATTGAAATTCAGTTATTCTCTTGGGTTAATCAAACCTTTTAAACTACAGTTTTCCAATTAAACTAAATGGGCAAGAACTCATATATAAGTATTTTTGTAAAAATAATATACAAAACTAAAATTGCTTTTCAAATGCATGTATTAGACAATATAGTATAATGATTTATCCAAGAAATGATTGGTAAATATGTGTTTACATGGAAAAAGGACATGTATATTCAGTGCTCCACCTAGAGTTGCTTTCTTAGTGAGATGGGCAGCATATTATAAATAAATAAATATAAAATAAAATAAATATATAAAATAAAAATATTTAGGACTGCATTCAATTCAACATAATAGTATATGATACTACTAGGATGGTCTAAGTAAAATTAGGAACATCTTAAGCTGCAGTCTTAGAGAATTTACTTTGGACTATGATCAATGGCTTTTACACCTGAATAAATCTTCCCAGGTTAATGATGCAGGACCCCCAGTTTCCAGCATCCAGTTTTTCTGCTAAAAATGGTAGAATTTCAGTGATCTGACTTTGGCTGAATCATAACATTATTCATCCTTGCTGAGATTCTATCATGGTGCAGACGCTTTTACCCAGCCAGGACGCTTTTACCCAGCCAGTTTGCAACAGGCACTTCTGTTTTTGACAGCTGTTGGCGTCCTTCAATGGCACTGTCCCATCCGCCACTCAACACTCCCTCAGCTGGTGCCAAAGCTGCTTGAACAGAGGCACTTTTGACTCCTTTGGGGACTTACTAGTGGGGCCCTTCCTTTATTATGTACCATGTTGTCCCCTCCAGCTGTGGTTCTGCACCCCTACAGCCTGCCTGTCTATCCTCCAGCACCCCAGTGCTACTCTGGGCTGGTTCAGGTATGATCATTTGTAATTATGTATACATTTATACATGTGTTTTGAATCTGTTTGTGTGAGATAGAAGAAACATTTCAGTGTCATTGACAAAGCCCAGCTGTGCCTATCTTGGTGGTCTTGGACAGCTGATAAAGCTTCCCCCATTGATAAATCTCTCCATTCCTGAGTTATTTTTACAGAATTGCTCAGATAGGGAAAATCTTCTCCTTGTATGGAAAGGGATATTTACAGCTTTAGGAACTAGGAGATCGATCCATTCTGTCCTTTGTCCTATGGATTTCCTTTAGTTTGTACACCAGATGGAACCTGTCCACTGAAAGACCTTAGGAATATAATGGATGGAACCTCTGTTGTACATTTTTTTGCTCCCTACCAGTCTTAAAGTTTAAATGGTAAACTTAAAAAGCAAAATTGACTTTGGTGAACAGCATAATAGATTTGATGAGAGGAAAAGGTTACACCTCTCTGCTCTATTTAGGAGTTGGTTTTCATCTAGTTTTTCAGTGATGCCACACTGAAAAGGGTTTGTAATCTTTTAATCACCTGAAACTGTTAGTGGTTTTGAAATGAAATATAAGCAAATACCACCTTATGCTTCAATGCATGGAGGGCCATTCAAGATATTGTAAGCATTTTATAATTAATAAAGCACAAGCTGTCTTCCCTTACTTACAAGTTTAAATTATGCTCAACATTGTAGAAGAAAAAATGGTAGAATGTATGAATAACATAGGTTAGCAAAATGAATGTTGGTGCCCTATTGGTTTTACAGTATAGGTAAAATATTCTAAATCCCTTGCAAGTGTGAAATGATGAGGCTCGGAGATGTGTTGCTTTGATAGCATTGTGAGGAACATAGGCATCCAAACAGTCTTGTTTACTTTTGGACCACTAAATACTTACACAATGATTGAATTGACATAATTGGCTTTCATATTGCCTAAATATCTTCCCCCATCTATTCATTTTCTAGCTTGGGTTGTGTAATAATCTGAACTAGGCTAGGCTAAAATTGGATTGGGTCCAACATGTTTTAGGAGAGCCAGTTTGGTATAATGGTTAAACCACCAAGCTAGAAACTGGGAGACCATGAGTTTTAATCCTGCCTTAGGCACAAAGCCAGCTGGTGAGCTTGGGCCAGTCATTCTGTCTTTAGGAAGGAGTTCATTTCTGAAATCTTGCCAAGAAAGCTGCAGAGACTAGTCCAGGAAGTTGCCATGAGTCAACACTGACTTGAAAGCATTAAAAATGTTTAAGGTACCCAGCCATTGCCATGATATATCATATAAACTCATGATATAATTTATGTTTTTTTGATACAGTATGCCATGTAAACACAGAAATTGCATTTTGTTAATCTGGACTATGTTGTCTGAACTCAGACCTTGTGGATTCATTTTTGTGAGCCAAGTATATACCAGTATATAATAACCAAGAGCATATTGAGTGAGATGCATTAATGAACACATCTGACAAAGCAGAAAATGTTTGAAAGCTTTCTAAAAATGAGCCTGCCCTACTTTAGACAGAATAAGGCAGGTATTACCCATGCTCACCTGATTATTCTCTTAAACTCCTGAATTTTCCTCTCTGTTGGATGACACTTGTATGTGACATTGTCCTGCAATTTTTAAAAATGGTAGAGGTCTACCTAGTAATGATATTCTAAAAGACACTCCCTTTGCTGAGACATTGCTAATTATTATGTGTAATATTAGCAATAAGTAGCCCAGCTTATTCATTTGAAAACGTAGGCTCACTCCTGGGCAAGACTATGTTCTTATAATTATATCTAATGAGCCAGCTATGACCATTCCTGAGCTAATTGAATTTGGCAGTTCTCCACACCTTAGAAGTATCATAATTTAATTAATGCAATGGGCTATATATAGAATCATAGTTGAAAATTGTCCAGAAACCTCAAATGATGCAATATTAAATGAGGACATTGGTTACTAATCAGTGCAATTAAACCTGAGTCATATAATGTCCATATTTAATTCCAGGCACAATTCAAGATAATCTTTTAGCCCTTAAAGATTAGGGCCTGGTTGTCTGAAGAACTATCTATGATCTATCCTTTTATAAATTTACTTAAATATTAAGATCTGCAGGAGAATCCATTACAGGGATTCCTGTGCTTCTGAACCTTAGCAATCATGAAGAACAGCCTTCTTTCACGTGGCTTCTAAACTATGGAATGTCTTCTCCTCTAGGCTTCCTAGCATCTTAAAAATACCTTACTAACCCATTTTTGAGGGATGTGCCCTATCTTCAGCTTATCCTTGGTATGCTTACCCTCATGATATTATCTTCAGACCTATCTTTTCCTTAGTTTCAAGTTGTTTTCCTTCTCCCAAAGCTTCCTGTACAGACAATTTATTATATTTTGGGGATAAGCTGGGATATGATGGTCCCAGAATGGAAACTGTTCTAGAAACACTTTCTCTCCATTTGATTACTGGATACTGCCAGCCTTGGTGATTTTTATTTTCTCTACAAGAAGATTAAATATCTGTCTTTTTTTGTTTTTAACAAAGGAATATTAAACTGCCAAGAGATGAACAGGCCTGAAAGCACTCCTGCTATTTGAAATGGGTGTATGTATGTGCTGGAGAGTCCATATAAGAAAGTAGATGGTCTATCCATACACACACTAATGTGGAATGGAAAAGGCTCTTTTCTTGACCAAAACATTTTGAGAGAAATTGGTTTCCTGAAGGAGAAAGAAAAATCCAGGGGCACAATTGCATCGAGAATTTTCTAAGTCAAGCTTCACATTTTTGTATTTTAAATCAATTTTTCCAATTACTCAGACAAACCTTGGAAGCTATGGGCTGTTTGACGTGGGTATATTGATTTTCTGTTTTTCTGAGAAGACTATCAATCTCCTAGGAGAAGCAGAACACTATGAATAATTAAAAATAAAGCCAAATAATAAAAAGGAATGGTTGAACCCCAAGTGTGTTTGTTGGTTGATTTTTCAACCTGTGGGTGACACTGGGTGCAAGACGACTCTATTAAATTATGAAAGGGCAACAAAACTCTCCCTTCTTTTTGTTGAGATGTAGTAAAGTTGGGGGATGGAGCTCAATTTCAATTTATGTTGATATACTTTTCTCCTGAGTCAAGGATGAGAAAAAAACATATTGAGGACAGCAGTTTAAGAGTCAACTTCTCAGCTAGGCTTGAATGGAATGATTTTTAGGATAAAAATCTATATTATCCTATATTTATATAATATTCACATATTTTAATATGCATTAATTGTCTTCTTTTTATATTTTGTTGTTGAATATTTGTTCCTGGAGTTATTTTTATAACAACAAAAATCCCCACAATGTTGTTAGCCTCTTTGAGCACTATGAACATTAACAATAAACTTATTTTTTATGTTTTGCAAGATTTGGAAAAATCTCTTCCCAGAAAAAAAGGAACTAAAGCTATGCAGGGGGAAAAAAATCAAAACAGTATTTTCCCAGTCCATAATGGTGCAACAATAGCTTTTATGATACAGTATTATTCCAATCATTAGAACTTTGTGAAGTGGGATTGCATACTACTTATGACTGGTATTCTGTCAAAGATTCTAAAAGAGAAGTTCACTTAATAACTCTTATTCCAGTTTCCTGCCAAAGGCTCCTCATCAATCTTTCCTCCAAACCTCCGCAAGATTCCTTGATATAGGTTCTATTTACAAATGTGTTTGCCTTCCCAAACCCTCTGCCCTTTCGAGCAGTGAGTGACAAGGAAGTGCTGTAGTCAAATAGAGCTATTTATAAGTGCTGAAAGTGGAGCCAACTATGATAAGAAAGAGTGTTGGAGACTGGTTTTCAAACTAACTGGTGATACTGTTTGCAAGAGAGAGATTTTGTCTTGATGGGTGAAAGAAAGTACATCAATCTCTGAGCAAGTGATGGCTGGCAAATGTCATCCATATCTATATTCTCCCTTTGTTTCCTCATGGGATGGACAAAGACCCTTTTAGAAAACAGGTGGCATAAAGTACCCTCCTATCAGACTAAGCTTCTCTTCAGCTGCTGTCTGTGTGAGAGTTTCTTGATTACACATGAACACACACACATTTAAACAGATCAAATTGCTAACTCCAAAATGAAGGTGGATTTATACAGAAGACTTTAATGAAACTATTTTTGTGGGTCAGATACCTAGTAGGTGAGCAGTAATCTTCCCAAACAGAATTCCTGCTCAAATAAGTACACAGCAACTAGTATGACATAGTATCTGATTTGTTTATAATATGGTGCAGTTTATAACTCTGGCGAAGAAGGAAACACTTGTTTTTGACAACCAATAGCTCTGCAGTTGGCGACTTCAGCTGCTAAGCATTTGCTTTTTAATCCAATAGACTTAAAGTCTGTAGAGATTCTCAGTCAGCCAGGTCATGGTTGTCCCAAAGGTGCTTTTTCAGGAGGCAACTGTACTTTCTTGTTTTTTCTTTGAAGATGTTTCACTTCTCATCCAAGAAGCTTCTTCAGCTCTGACAGGAGAGTGGGGAATGGAAGGAATCCTTCTTGCATGAGAAGCTTCTTGCATGAGAAGCGAAATGTCATCAAAGAAAAAAGTTGCCTCCTGAAAAAGCACCTTTGGGAATCCTTTGTCAGTCATTATGATTTCAAACCATATTTTGTTTATTCCTAAGCAGTTACGGTAATTTTCTCTTTTAAGAAATCATGTCCTTCTTAATCACCATTTCTTTGAAGAAAGCAGAGACATCTATGACCCTGCTGTCCCCACATGACATTTTGTCCACACTGTGGTCAATTTCACAACTAGACCTTATAAAATCAGGTTATAAAATAGAGTATTCTCTCAAATCTTGAAGCCATCATTTTCTCTGCCAATTTAAATAGAAGAATCTTCCCTTAGCAGTGATCCGCTTCTAATGCTGCACAATATGTAGAAGGCTTAATTACACAAAATTCTCATCTTGAAAGCAACTAGGGAATAGAGTTTTGAGGGATAGTAGCATGCAGACA